CGGCTGAAAGGGCGAGCATGTTTGGTGTGACGGGGATTCGAACTAGCGACCCTCAGATTGCGAGTCGAGTGTCGTAACCACCTGGCCATGCGGGCCCTTATTGAAAAATAAAAATAGTTATTAGGTTATTACAAGTACACTAATTTCAATGAATAAACAGATTCAAGTCTGGTACACATGTTAGCCATTCAATTCCTTCGATACCCTCTTCTTCCATGAAGCTGTTATGCAGTCGAGCATGGTGGGAGTGCATGTTATCATCCAACAAAGGAAAGTTTGGATGAACTTTATCTGCATGTAGCAATATTAATGGTTGTAGGCCTGTATTCCTATTTTTATGGCATTCATGGCTCCATGTTGTAGCACATAAAGGTTAGTGTGATCACCAATACCGACCCCTACCCAAACCAGTATGATGTCACCATCTGTGTATGCCTTTCCTCAATGGCACTGCGTTCCCAGGCTCTCTCAAATATGTACATATTTCGTATCTGGCTACATTGTGAAGTATGATTCTTGACGCTAGTTAAGACAGATGATGTTTTAGCGATGATTAGAGGAACCACGTCATTTGTCATCTGGCATAAAGGTCGACCTTTGTGTAACCTTTTTCTAACCATTTGCATGTCAATTTGTCATCAATTTTCTACTTTGGACTGTAGATTCAGTTAGTAAGCTGAGGTCCACTGGTTGCTTTGAGCTCATATTGTCAAATAGCAGTCATCTTGTACTGTTGTTAATAATGGTCTACCATGTCCAAGTCTTTGGTCAATCATATTAGTAGCCTGAAAGCGAGTCTACATTTTGCTAACTACACTTTAAAACGGATGCTACACCTAGAGCACACTGACTAGGATGATCACTTATCATATGTGCGAACAGAGTGGTATTCTCAGGTAAAACAGATTTCTCCCCAAAGTGACAAGATGTGTTTGCAGAATAATAGGAGATTCGTGAAGGTATTTATTACGAAGTAATTCTGCATTCTATGATCAACTGAATTTGCAAGAAATAAACAAAGACTGGACATAAGTGTACAATCACAATAAACAATCTTAAGTTCACAAACACAGTATATGTGTGTTTACTTGACACAATAGACGGTCATTTTTGCTGGAAAGTTTTCTACTAAATTTGTACTGGGCTTACTCAAATGACATCTTATACCAGACTGAATAAGCATAAGATTACTTAGTTAAGTCACTAATGTCAAACTTACCCAGAGCGACTTGCGCTACCACGTGACTGTCATTTCCGTTGAAACATAAGGGAAATCATAACCTTAAGATGTCACCTGACTGTCAGTTGAAAAGATGGCTGTCTAACTTCATGTACTACGTATAATCTTATAGCTATCTTTCACATAGTAAGATAAAAAGTAGGCTGATCCGACTAAAGCATTACTAAGCTGAAGCCCCCCAGTGGTACAGTGGTATGTCTGCGGACTTACAATGCTAGAAACCGGGTTTCGATACTCGTGGTAGGCAGAGCACAGATAGCCCATTGTGTAGCTTTGTGCTTAACTTCAAACAAACAAACTAAGCTGAAAGGAGTCTGCATTTCTCGCTTTTCAAGCTCTGATCAAAGTTCATTATTACAAACAACTGGTGGCAGTAGCTAATAGAGTTATGATATCACTAAGCTGAAATTCCTTTCAAATCCTTATTTTCTGACACTCAAATGTAAATAAATGACAATTATCAGTGGTAAATTGCAGGAGAAGCATTTGAGATATATGCAGCGTTGGTATGTACATGTATGTGGCAGAAATAATAACATCTTAGAGTTGTGTGACACTGAATTTGTAGATATTGAATATCTGAAAACAGAAATAGACATTTATGACCATCCAACTTCAATGAAAACAAATAGGAAACTTATGGGTTTTGGCTATCATAATGTGTTGATTTGCATGAATAACGATTGGGTTTTTGATGCATAGATGGCGGCATGGTAAAGCAAGGGTTCTGCTACATTTATTTCAAATAGTAGGCTATGATAATAATAATATTTACTTTATTATTACTCTCTGTGCATGACAGAAAAACAGTTATTCTTATATCCATGTACATATTTGTTTGTATTAAGATAGAATGATTTCCCGGTAACTGGTTGATCTGCGTTATATTTTTATATGATATTTTGTGAGAATCGTTTTTTTTTTGTTACTATGAAAGTTTCTACGCTGCTTGAATGGAAATCATTGTCATGCCATTAGCTAGATACATAAATTGATAAAATTAAAGTTAACATATCAGCGATTAGATGATTGACTTGTTTAAAGCAGATGAGTTGCTACACAATCGAATATACAAGTATAAACCTGTAGGACTAAAATGTACATTAGTTACACAGGTGCTGTGTTGCTCTTTCAGTTCTTAAGTCAATCTATACCAAAAACAATAATGATATTACAAGTAAACGAGAAGTCTGCTTCAGCCACCTCTGCACCAACAGAGTCCAGGGGTAGGAAGTGGTTGGCAGCGTATGAAGTCACTGGTCTGGCTTGTGCTCAACATAGAAAATATTGTATACAGCAGTGTCTCTCAATTTTTTTTTGCTCGTGACTCCTTTTTGAGTTTGATTTATCTCTGTGGCCCCAC